AAAACGAATGAACTAGATCACATACAAAAACAGTGTTGAATGAAAAAAGCAGAAGGATGCATATAGTATGATCATTTATGTAAAAATTTTAAAAACATACTACCAAATCTAAAAACATGAGTGGAAAGAATCCACCTCAACTTCTGGGATGCAGGAGGGAGAATGGAATGGGAAGTGGACCTAAAGTTTGTATGTGTAACGTTTTATTTCTTTAAAAAATCTGATACAAGTATGACAGCCTATAACATTTTCACATCTGGGTGTTAAGAACATTGGTTTCATAGTTTTCTATATTTTCTGTTAGAATTATTTTCATAATTGAAAACTATAAATCAAAAAGAAATAGGAAAAAATTAAGAAAAAAGAAGTAGGCCTCAGTAGATTGGCAATTCCACAAGGGCACAGACCTCTGGTTTTGCTGATCTGTCCCAAGCACCAAGAACAATAGCTGGCACACAGTGAGCACCCCCATAGAAATTTTTTAAAGATTTGTGCTACTTTGTCACTGTAGAAATTGAGACCCAAGAGCATTCAGCTGATAGTGACAAAGCTGGGATCAAACACAAGGTCTAGACTTCTCCTTGTCCCATGTTGCTGAGAAAGGTTAGATTCTTGATATTTTAAAACATAAGATTTATACATGTTACTCTACTTTCTTAACAATGAAAACTCCTATATAAAACTTGTAAATTCTTCCAAATCCCAGAAATGGTAGAGCCTCACAAACACATCTTCCTCTAAGAGTATGAGCTACTGAAGGATTAAACCAGTATCTCTTTTTGTTTCTAGACCCAGTACATGTTAGTGCTCAGAGTGAACCGGTCTTGTTTATGTTGTAGAGTTTGTGTAATTTGACAGATGATATATCTTCCGTGTGGTTGATGGAAAATTCAACTTGGCTTGACTTAGTTTTTTTAAATGTTTTTAGGAGCTTGAAATTGTCATTGGAGATGAACACATTTCTTTCACAACATCAAAAATTGGTTCTCTTATTGATGTCAATCAATCCAAGTAAGTGTATATGACCCTTATAGCCAGATGTGTCAGTTTTGAAGCTGACTGATATGAAACCCTTAACCAAATTGGGACCGTTATGGCAAGACAGAAGGGGTCAGGGGCGCCTGGGTGGCTTTCGGTTAAGCGTCCGACTCTTGGTTTCAGCTCAGGTTGTGATCTCAGGGCCATGAGATCAAGCCCCACGTCAGGTTCCACATTCAGTGCAGAGTCTGCTTAAGACTCTCCCTCCCTCTGCCCCCCCCACCCTGGTTTCTCTCACTCACTCTCTCTAAAATGAATAAATCTTAAAAAAAAAAAAAAAAAGACAGAAGGGGCCAGCTTTGTTCTCATCATGAGACTTCAAATTATTCTCATAATAATGAGGGCATTCTCCTGTTGCTTTTGATGTTTTAGTCAGTGTTACACAGAGCTTCTCAGTGACACACTGACACACACACACACACACACACACACACACACACACACACACAGAGTAATGTCATAGGAGCAGCCAAAATAAGAATCTGGCCAGAACAGAAAATGAAATATGCCAGAACAGGTGCTTGAGATAAACTGTAGAGTCGCTGGGTCGATCTGAACACCTTTTCAGTGTTGGCCATTCAGACTAGCACATCTTATAGTCTGACAGTGGTGAAACTTGAATATTTAGAATACAAACTTAAAAATTCATGTTGTCAGGGCAGATAATAAAGCTGAGACATGAGTCTGTATGCTCCAAAGAGTCCTTAGAATTTGGCAACCTCTGGGGTGTCTAGATGACTCAATAGGTTAAGGGTCTTTTTTTAAAAAATATTTTTTAAGATTTTATTTATTTATTTAATGGAAAGAGAGAGAGACAGCGAGAGAGAAGAGGGAGCAGGGGGAGTGGGAGAGGGAGAAGCAGGCTTCTTGCCAAGGGAGCCTGATGCGGGGCTCGATCCCAGGACTCTGGGATCATGACCTGAGCCGAAGGCAGTCGCTTAACCAACTGAGCCATCCATGTGCCCCATGGGTCTGACTCTTGATCTCAGCTCAGCTCTTGAGTTCAAGCCCCACGTTGGGCTCTATGCTGGACATGGAGCCTACCTTAAAAAAAAAAAAGAATTTGGCAACATCTAGCTCCTGTGTTTTGAGGATTTGGAATTAGATACGGCTCACTTTTATTTTTATTTTTTAAAGATTTTATATATTTATTTGAGAGAGAGAGAATGAGCCGGGGAGAGGGAAAAGCAGGGAGCCTGACACAGGGCTCAATCCCAGGACCCTGACATCATGAGCTGAGCCAAGGCAGACGCTTAACTGACCGAGCCACCCAGGTGCCCCTATGGCTCACCTTTAGTACATGCTGGGTGTAATTGTCTTCCTTTGGACAATCTCCTTGTTCTTAGCCAGTTGTGCCATAGTAATCTTTAGCCTCTTGGTCCTGCTTAGTACTACTTCTTTTTAAAAAAAGTTTTCCTAGGGACGCCTGGGTGGCTAAGTCAGTTAAGTGGCCGCCTTCGGCTCAGCTCATGATGTCAGGGTCCTGGGATCGAGTCCCGCATCGGGCCCTCTGTTCAGCGGGGAGCCTGCTTCTCCCTCTGCTTGTGCTCTCTCTCTGTCAAATAAATAAAATCTTTTTTAAAAATAAATAAATAAGTTTTCCTAATTCTGAAAGTAATACATGCTCACTATAGAAAATGCAGAAAAATAAAAGGGGGAAAATCACCTACAAACTTATCAGACAACCATTAATATCTTGAAGTATTTCTGATCTATTTCACATGCATTAAAAACTATTTAACTTTTTAAAAAGCACAAAAAATATCATTGAGATCAGCAATCTGTTATTTTAATAATGATTTTTTTCATTTAATAACTGTTTCCCCATTAAAAACTAACATTTAAAATGATCTCGTTTAATATATAGCACATAGCCTTTTCCTTTTTTATGGACACTTGGTTGTTTTTAAAGTTTTAATTCTGTAAATGTCTTTATGTAAATAATCTGGGTTAGTAAATGTTTTGTTTTGTTTTGTTGCCAGTTTTTTCCAGCTTCTTAAACATGTTTTTCCTCTTGCATTATAGGGATCCAGAAGGCTTACGAGTATTTTATTATCTTGTCCAGGACCTGAAGTGTTTGGTCTTCAGTCTTATTGGATTACACTTCAAGATTAAGCCAATCTAGATTGAAAATTGATGTGGACATAAGGGGGGTTGGGAGTACCTGTTTTTAATTACCATTATCAGGACATTTTTGTGTATATCAGGACAATATTTTTTTTATAAACTATAAATGGCTGTCTTTAATAAATACATAACAAAATGCAGTTTTTTGTTATTTTATAAAGACCTGAACATGTGAACTCTCCTCAGTTATTTTTTAAAACAGCCTATGTGAAGTATTGCCAAAAATCTATTAATCAGCTATAGATATAACTACCAATTTACAGGAATAAGAGAATAGAGAGAAAAATTAGAAAATACAATAGATTAAAAAAAAGAAGAAAATACAATAGAAATCCAACCAATATCCAAAGGAAACTCCAGGGCAGAGGATCTGGCTTCTTCAATAAACACATTGCAAACATAAAATAAATAGAGATGGTGTGGGAACTGGTAGATTAAAGGAGATTTAAGAAACACATAATCAGTACAGTTTGGACCCTATTTGGATCATGATTCAAAAAACAAAATTGACATCATTAAGGAAATTTGAACACTGGGTATTTTATATTAATGAAGTATTTTCTAAAATTTTAGGTGTGAAATGGGTTTTTCCCCCTCCGGCTTTATTGAGATATAATTGAGGTTGGGGTTTTTTAAATCCTCTTTTACAGATACATCCGTAGGTATTTCAGTATGAAGGAAAACATTTCGGTTTAGTACAATATAAGGGATAATGCCTGGTCGCAGAGAAGTTTTCTAATAATCCATTTTAAAATCAATACCAACAGTCGTTAGGAACTGAGACCTAGCTCGTATGGACAGTGGGAATTTGTTCAGTACGTAGATCTGTAGGGACTTTTCCTTACTGCTAAATTGCACTGCTTCCTTAGGCAAATTGCTGGTTGACCAGATTGTGGGTGCTGAAAGGAACTGGCTTGATAAATATTTGTGGAGAGGTGATTAGGATAAGCTCATCCCACAAGACAGGCCAGCTTGGGACATGTCCCAAGTCTTTTGACTCCGAGGCCAGTGTTCCCTGCACCCCTCCCGCCCCCCCAATACAGACAATCTGCCTCCTTCAAAGATAGCAGCAACTTAAGTCCTAAGTTGTCAGGGTTCCTAACTCCAGTGCATCCCTCTCTATAGAAGGGTACCTGGGGCAATGAAGTAAGTTGATGGTAAAGTAGACAAGAATAGTAACTCCAAAATTTAAATGACCGTGAGAATCCCAAAGGCTGTTTAAGTGTCGCACACCTACACCCACAGCTCCCGTATGGTCTCAGATGTGCCCTGGACAAGAGGACAGATAAAACAAGGTCCAGGTAATATACAAGGATAAACTAGGAGCCCAGAGAAGAACCCCCCCTGAAAGGGAGTGTCCAGTGTTGGGGACTGCAGCGAGAGACGTGTACACGGGGCAACCCTCTGAAAGCAGGTCTCCTGGGGGAAAGAGGAAGGGGCAGTTTAGAGAAGGGCCCCAACCCCTCAAATCTGCGAAGCTGGCCTAGGGCGGACGGAACCGACGCGACCTAAGAAGCCTCAGAAGGCAAGCACGGACCACGCGGTTGTTGGGTGAGAGAAGACCGAGTAGTGAAGAGGGGCAGGAAGAAGCCCTGGCAGAGGTTTCGCGCAGGGACTGTCGTGTTTGCTACGGTATCCCTCAGACCAGCATAGTGCCGGCACGAGATTGGCGCTCAGCAAATTCTGGAAACAGGTTTCGGCGGCTCCGAGCTCAGGCTGATTGCGGACTCAGGACAGCTCCACAGCGCCACTTCACCTTGGAGCAAAGGCACCCCGGCGCGCGCGGTAAGCAGCAGCGCGTGAAGGCCCCGCCTTCCGCCCCTCCCGACGCACGCCGGAGGTCTGCACCCGGTGCGCTGGCGGCGCCCGCCGTTTACGACGGGCCGGAAAGTAGTGGCCGCAGCTATCGCCGGGTGGGGTCGGGCCGAGCCAAGCCAAGCCACTATGGGGGTGAGGCGGAGGCAAACTGCGGCCGGGGCAGGGACGGGGAGGTGGCGAGGACCTGGGAGGCGGGAGTTCGTGCCAGGAGGGAATGAGAGAGGTGGGCTCGCGCTGAGAAGGAGCGGGGGAGGCAGAGCGCGAATCCAGGAGGGGCGGGGCCGGGGCTCGGTAGGGCTGCGCAAGCGCGGTTGATGCGCTTGCTGAGGCCCTTCCTCTCTACAGAAAATTGCGCTGCAGCTCAAAGCCACGCTGGAGAATGTCACCAACCTCCGCCCTTTGGGTGAGGACTTCCGGTGGTACCTCAAGGTGCGGCTGGAGGGGCGGGACCCTAGGCGGGAGAAGGGAGGAGCATCGGAGGGGCTGTAGGTGCCGCGAGGTTCCGGGGGGGGGAGCGACTCCGGAAGGCGGGGTGGGCGCCAGGGGCCGGGCCCAGGGAAAGCTTTCCCGTGCTAAAGTCAGTTTCCGAGGGGAGCTTTGTCTCAAGCATCCTTGGAAATGTACAGCCATTAAATGTTATTTTCCTGAATAGAATTTGTTCGCTTTTCTAAATGTATTGGTTAATTCTTAATTGGTAGTGTCTCGGAATTCCTTTTTTAATTTTTCCTCCGTGAAATATTTCATGTTTTGTAAACACTAAACGAAGGACGACTTGAAGGGGTCTTGGGATTGTTTAGCAAGGAGGGGAATTTCACCTTCTGTTTTATTTGTTGATTAGGCTTTATTTATCGTGAAACCGTTTTAATTTTGATCGTGGCTTCCTCCATCCCTCCGTACCCCATACTGGTGAATCTGGTACTCTGGTGGCTTGGTATGCAGAGGCCCCCCTCTACTTGAGCAGTGTGCCCTTCACTCTCCCAGATCTCAGAGCTTCTGCTCTATTTCCTTCCTTGTCAAAACCCCAGCATCCTTCAGAACCTGGCCAAAGCTCTATCCCTTTTAGGAAGCTTTTTCTGGCCACCTTTACTACCAAATATTTTGAAGCTCGAGTACCAGGGCTTATTTGAGGAATTGATGTTCTTCCACTTCAAAAAGCACAGAGTCTAGCAGAGGAGACAGAGAAATAGAGTAACAACAGCGATAAGTACTTTTACTAGGAACCTGCAAGGCCTGTGAGAACACAAGGGAAGCTCCAGACCCAACAAGGGTGCCATTTCTGCACTCAAGGAGCCTTGAATTTCAAGCCAGACTGGGTACTTCTTAGAGGAGGGTGGGCATGCCAGCAGGAGAAACACTTGACCTGTTCTTTCCCCAGAGAGATATTTCGGTTATGTCCTTCGTGGGGCTGGTTGTAAAGAGGAGGTGAAATTGTGGACAGGGAGGTAGGTTGAGCCTGCCTATGTCACAGTTTTCTTGCCCTTTCCGTCTGCCAAGCTGAGCTAACTGCTTTACTAATCCTCTTTTTCCTCTGCTAAGATGAAATGTGGCAACTGTGGTGAGATTTCAGAGAAGTGGCAGTATATTCGGCTGATGGTAACTACTCCCCCTACCTACCACCATACCCACACACAAACACACATAGGCCTCTGGGCAGGGATTTGGGGAGGGAACCTGTGGCCCTAATCTCTCAGGTCTTTGGACCTTGCTTTTTGTGGTTTGGAAGGGCAGCCATTAGTATGGTCAACACTGGGAAGAACAGGCTTCTTTGGAATGTGAGGCAGAGTTCAGAATCAAGGGGAATCCCTTTCTTAGTCTCAAGAAGCTCCCCAGGATTCTTGTCCTAGCAGATGGTGCTCCCTGTTTGTCTTGGTCTCTTCACCTAATAAGTGGTAGACAGGATCATATCTAATTAATGTATGACTAGAGATTCTGTTTACCCTTGCCAGGACAGTGTGGCACTGAAGGGAGGTCGTGGCAGCGCCTCCATGGTCCAGAAGTGCAAGCTGTGTGCGAGGGAAAACTCCATCGGTAGGTCAGGCCACGAATCCCGAGTTCTGCCAACTGGGGCTACATCTTCCTGGTACCAGAGCAAAAGCAGGCTCATGTTACTGTGGGTGGACCCAGGCCTGAGGTGCCCAGGGTGTGGCAGCCAACTCTCTTTCCCAGAGCCATGTTTGGGCACAGGGATGGGGGCACAGTATGGACTCAAGTCAACTTTGTCTTCTCTTTCACATTTCAGAGATTTTGAGCAGCACCATCAAATCTTACAATGTAAGTTTTCTGCTGTGGTCGCAGGTTTGGTGGGATTAAATCTAAGCTGGGAGCTAGGAGGCCTGGGTTCTAGAGTTTGTCTGCACCAGCGTGACTTGCTACGGGACATTCATTCATATACTCGTTCACTCATTCACTCACTGTATCAGTGACTTATTCACCATACACTGGCTGAGTGCCTGGTAGGCAGAAGATTCATAAACAGGCTGTTACAGTGTCTTCTCTAATAAGCACTGGGCTGTGGGAGCTCAGGGAACCTCTGGCCAACCTGTCCACTCAGTTTCCATCACTGGGAGCCCTTGCCTTGTCTACACTGGGAGACTCCTGAGCTTTCTCTGGCACCCTTGACGTTGACATTAGCTAGTTATACATTACTGTGTAACAAATTAGTCCAAACGGTGGGGGAGGGAGTGTGTGCTTTGAGTCTCTTTGTTTAAAGGGTAGTTACTTGTATTCACCCATTCCTTACTTAGTATTTTTTTTAAAAGATTTTATTTATTTATTTGAGAGCAAGCACGAGCAGGGGGAGTGGTAAAGGGAGGGGGAGAGGGAGAAGCAGACTCCCCGCTGAGCACACAGCCTAACGCAGGGCTCAGTCCCAGGACCCCAAGATCATGACCTGAGCTGAAGTCAGACACTTGACTGAGCCACCCAGGCACCCCCCTTACTTAGTATTTTTGAAACATGTCTGATTTATGCCAAATTCTCACCTTTGTTCCGAAGTTAAAGGGAGAAGTCGCAAGCACTTGCTTTCAAGTAAATGATATATCGTAAATAAGACACACCAGCAAACAAAAAGCAAACCAGGGCCAACAGAGTGCCTCGCCCATGCCAGGCACATGATTGGTGTGTAGGAAATGACTTTACCATGAAGGACAGAATGAGAGTGTGTGGGTGTGGTGCTTGGCATCTCTGAGCCCATGGGTCAGGTAGGCATGAATTTCCTCATACCAGTCCCCTCAGAGGTGCCTCTTCCACATGAAAACCCCATTTCAAAGGCTTTTAAGTCAGCCTCCTGCCTCACAGCATGGCAGAGGTTTAGCAAAAGGCTGCAGTTAAGCATCCTCGGCCATTGGGAAAATCTGGAGACTTTATAGCCTAACATTCTTGTTCATATTTTTTATTTTTGATAATTTTATCTGCTCTTTATTGAGCATAGCGTCAGGTACTATAGCTGGGCACTTTACACATAATTCAGATTTTCACAGCAAACCTGTAGTGGTTTCCTCAGCCCAATCTGACAATCTTAGGCCCAGCTGGGAAGAGAGGTAGAGCTGTCTGAGCTCATATCCAGGCAGGCTGACTCCCAGAACTCAGTCTTTCTTCTGCAGCAACTGTGTCCAAGAAGGTCTCACGAGGAGCAGGTACCCAATGCAGGCTTCTTCCAGAAGAGGAGTTGCTCCTAAGTCCCATTCTGGGCTCTTGGGTAGTAGGGCCCACTTGGCAGGAAGGGCAGGGGGCAATGAGATCTTCATGGGCCTGCCCCCTCAACATTTCTTTTCTAGGCTGAAGACAATGAGAAGTTCAAGACAATCGTAGAATTTGAATGCCGAGGCTTTGAACCAGTTGATTTCCAGCCCCAGGTGCGTAACCTGTATCTTTGGGGGGGTGCATATAGGAAGTAACAACAGAACTTTGCTTCATCCAGAGACCATGAACTAGGACTTCTCCTCTCTTATTAAGTGCCTGCTATATGTTGGGCATTGTGCTGGTCATGTTTACATATTGCTTCATTTAATCCTCACAGTAACCCCGTGAAGTTATTCGTCCTATTTTTCGGACAAGGAAAGAACTTGAGATTTTGCAACTTGCTCAGGGCGACAGTAAGCATTGAATGGTCATTTGAACCCAGGTCTCTCTGATTTCAGAGCCAGTGCTCATCCCACTTTATTTATGCAGCTTTTCCACCTCATGACAAATCTATGAGGCAGGGAGACAAAACAGCATTCTCCTCCCCGTTTCCTAAACAAGAAAACTACGGTCCAGAGAGGGGAATGACATGCCCAGCGGCTTTCAGGAGCTCACGGGTAGTGGAAAGGTTTACCCCACCCCCCTGCCTCTGGCCCAGGCCTTTAGAGGAATGACTGTAGGCCTGGGAAAACTTCCAGGCCCAGGAAGTGCATTATTCCAGAACAGGTGCTCCCTGCATCTCTGTCCTCCCATCCCAAAGGTGGTATGAAAAGAGCCAGTTCCCTGGCAGGCCTCACTGGCCAGACCAGTACCTCCTTTCCCCCAGACTAACTGCTGCCTTCCTGTCACCTCCAGGCTGGGTTTGCTGCTGAGGGTGTGGAATCGGGGACAGTCTTCAGTGATATTAATCTGCAGGAGAAGGTACAGGACTTGGGGGCCTTGCGGGGTGCTGTAGGGTACCTGGTGGGAATTACCCTCTTGGTGAACAAAGATCAATAGAAAGATGATTCCACATTTTTTTAATTTTTGTTGGTGATTTTGGTGTTTAAATGGCCCCAAGTGTAGTGTTAAAGTGCTACCTAGTATTCCACAAGCAAGAAGGCTGCGATATACCTAATGGAGAAAATGCATGTTAGATAAGCTTTGTGTAGGCAGGAGTTCTAGTGCTGTTGGCTAGGAGTTCAATATTAATGAATCAACTATATATAAGGTATTTTTAAATGGAAACCTACCCAAAACAAGGTTGTATATTGATTGGTTGAAGAAAACGTGATCTGAGGTTTCCAAGAACCTAACCCTGTATTTCCCCTGGGAGCAGTGGTTCGCTATTTACTAATTCAGTGTTTGTGGTGATTCTGTAGAATATAACTACCATGAATAATGAAAATCAATTGTATTACTGAACATGTTACTACCTTACATAAGCCTTGTGGTCAGGCTTCAAAAGGAGGACAGAAACCTCCTTTGTTTGCATAGCACCTAATAACAACAACAGCTGGAATTTACTGAGCTCTTAACATGTGCCTGACACTATGCTAAGTACTTTTACATGTGTTTCCTCATTTGCTTCTTTCAACATTGAACATGAAGTCTGTTACTGTTCCTTTTTTTAATAGAGGACAGAACTGAGGCTCTGAGAAGTTAAGTGACTTGCCCAGAAATGCGCTCTAGCTCTGTTCCAGGTCCTACATATTCATGAATATCTATCTCAGTAAGAGCCTGAACTGGCCCTTTAAAGTCCCAGAGTGCCACTGTCCCCACCGTCTTAGGCCATCTCATGAGGTTGACAGGGCCATTTTTTTCCCCACAGGACTGGACTGACTATGACGAAAAGGCTCAGGAATCTGTGGGAATCTACGAGGTCACCCACCAGTTTGTGAAGTGCTGAACCTTCTTCATGCGCACTTGCCTCTAGGAACTGAGAAGGGACAACGTGCCCCGAGCAGCAGAGCCCACTGAGGCACTTCCCCTCATCCTTTGTCTCCTGGAAGCTATCCAAGCCCTCATCACCTGCATGCTGGGCTCTGTCACAGCTTCCCAAACCCCACCAATAAAGCCCCTGTTTGTTTGTGCTGCACTGGTACATGAAGGCAGAGTCAGGTAACAGCAACTCCCTCCACAAATAAGAATTCATGTTGGAAGTCTCTGATCGCTTCCTGGCACGTTGCCACAGTATAGGCTCCAATTTGTAAAATATGCAGGAGCACATAGCTTATAAGGGCTCTCCAGCTCTTGGGGAGCAGGTAGGTCAACTCAAAGGACCTAAGGTGTCAAGGCCAATGGTACAAAGGGCAGCTGGGCCTGTGGAATGATGCCGTGAGCCCCGTGGTCCAGAGCCAAAACACGACATTTACCACCTTGGCTCTTAAGTAAACCCAGGCATTTCTAGCTGGTGTCACTTCATATTCCAGGGCTAGCAGGGACTTTAGAGGCAGCAGTCCAGTCCTGGCATGAATCTGCTCTGTGAAATTCCTGCTGACAGTCATCAAGTCTTTGTCCATTTGCCGTGATGAGGCAATCCTCTCCCATCAATATGATGGGAGAGTCATATTGAAGGGGAGTCATATGAACGTTCCCCAATATTGACTCCCCAATATGAAGGGGAGTCAATATGAACGTTCTTCCTTCTGCTAAGTCAGCCACCGTGCTTCCTGGAGTGCCTGCTGGTCCTGGTTTGTCACCTTTGTGGTCATGCTTCCATGTTCTGCCCCTGGACAGCCCTGTGGAGGTTTGAAGACAGGAGTCATGGCCCTGTAAGTCTCATGGGCCTGGTTCCCTGGTTCTGAAGATCCCCTGCAGTGCACAGTTAGCTCATGAGGGCACACTCAGCGTTCACACTGGTGAATCCACCATTTGGAAAACCTGTTGTGAGAGACCTTATTTCTCCAGTGTTCTGCTGGAGCCAGAATTCTTTGGAAGTAAAAATGATTACCTTCATTTTCTGAGAGGCCCACTGGGAAAAAGTCTGCCCACTTCCAGACTGGTTGTGGAGGGCACTAGGAAGGGGCACTCCTACCTCAGATTTCAGGTAAAGCTAGCTGTGTCCAAGGGTGATAAAGCAATCCCTACCTTGTCCGTTCTCCAGTCTGGCATCTACATCATGTTTCCTCTAGGTTCCCTGTGTTCCTGGCCCCTGGACCTGCTCTTTTCTGCATCTGACAGAGCAGAGCTTTGGCCTGCCCTCAGCCAGCATGTCTATCCAGTCTGTCACCCCCAGTGTCCAGTTCACTGCCCAGCCTGAAAGCAAATATGTGGAAGCAGCCTGAGTAAGCAGCAGCCTTTCTGGGTTTTAGTCTCTTATGTAACAGCCAGTGTGTGTGAAGCTCACAAAGACAATAAAAGGATCTCAGCATTTTCTTTATATTTCAGATTATTTTCTCATTTTTCAGGAGGTAGAAGAACCCAAATAATCATTAACAGATTAAAGGAAAATTAGATGATGTCAACAGATGGAGAAAGTATTCAGTAAAATTTAATATCCATTCAACAACAAAAACAACAAACTACAGAAACTCTTAGCAGACTGGGAATAGAAAGGAACTACCCTCACCTCACGAAGTAGATCTACAGAAAACGTAGAGCAAATGAAATGTGTGAAGTATTCCATTCAAGGTCAGGGTGAGCTGAGGATACCCTTGACCACTGCTACTCTTACTTGTGCAGTCCCACCCAGTGCACTGATACAACAAAAAGAAAGTAAAGGGAAAGTATAGAAAAGGAAGAAAAAACTCTTTTTCACGGATTGTGATTTTCCACTTACAAAATACAAAAGCATTAATAGGTGCTGGATTTAAGATCAATATACAGAAATCAAATTCATTTCAGTACGCTGATGACATGCAAAATGTAAATCAAGAAAAAAGTACCATTTATAATAGTAACGAAAAAATACCTCCAAAAGTAGTTAAATCTATCAAAAATGTTCATGACCTTAGTGTGAGAAAATTATTAAACTTCACTGAAAGGTGTTAAAGCCTAAATAAATGGAGACCTATACTATGGTGGATAGGAAGACTTGCTATTATAATCCTCCTCAATAAATGTATTTATAAAGTTCTTGTCCAAATCGCAACTATTTTTTAACAGAACCTAAGTTGATTCTGAAACCTGATGTGACACAGGTGGGAGGACCCCCCCCCCCGCCAGATGCCACAGTGTAGTGACAGAGCAATGGCAATGAAGCCAGCACCATGCTGGCACCGTGACAGACAAACAAACAAAGGGACAGTAGACAGACCGCTGCATGTGTGAAAACTGGTTTAGGGATAGGTGCTGTTGCAGATCAGTGGGGAAATTTTTAACTCACCAAGAAATGGTGCTGGGGCAATTGTTTAAAAGTGTGCAGTAAATGATACTGGGACCACGTTTCCTCTGCATACAAAAGTCTATTCCAGGGGCGCCTGGGTGGCTCAGTTGGTTAAGCGTCTACCTTCAGCTCAGGTCATGATCCCAGGGTCCTGGGATTGAGCCCCCCCCCCCCCGTCGGGCTCCCTGCTCAGTAGGACGCCTGCTTCTCCCTGTCACTATCTCTATCCCTATCTGTGTCGCTCTCTCTCAAATAAATAAAATCTTGAAAAAAAAAAAGTCTATTCCAAGGTTAGTTATCTTGGGGGCTTTCGTGCAGCAGCATGTTGGGGTTCAGTGTCTGGCTCACTGTAAGTGCTAGGCAAGTACTGTCCCTCTCAGGACCCCATTTTCTCCATCTAAAAAAAGGGCACTTTCAGCTCTGACATTATGTTATAGATAAAAATTAGTCAAAATGGTGGTGGCATGTCTGAGGCCTGCCCCTCATCACCAGGAAAGTTAGTCCCCTGCCCCACTCTCCAGGACTGGCCTCCTGTCCAGGTAGTGGAAGTTAAAGCTGCTGGATGCAGGGACAAGTGCAAGATGAGACATCTGAGTCCTAAGTTCCCTGCCGTCTTGTTTGGACATTCCGCAAAGGTCCTCAGTATGCCCTTCTAACATTATCCTTGAACAGCTGTTTAAAAGGTACCATCTTTATCCATTAGCATTTTTTGAAGCTTGGCTTTTGGTGAATAGCAATGAGTTGAAGGTTGGGTAACATTAAGCTGCATCCTCGTGGACAACAGTCATTCCTGTTGTTTCCCGGGAAGAGCAGAGGCCCCCAGGATCTCTGCCTGGCCAGGCAGCCTTATCTCACAATGCTGTCCCCATTCCTCTGTGAGCCAAGTCACCCTGGGCTGAGCCCTTTCCCTGGGTAGCTATCAGACCCCCAGAGAAAGCTGCATGTCTGGTCTTCAGAAAGCTCAGGACTCACAACACCGACCATCTTCACTGTCCTGACACTGTGCATCTGAACTTTGATTCAGCCATCTTCCCTGGGGGCTTCTGCTGCAGCAAGCTCTACAGGGAGGAAGGTGAATGAGACCCAAGCTGTGCTGTTCAAGAGCCAAGCAACTATAAAACAGTTACTCCCAAACAGGTGCACTGGATCACTGGGAAAACTTTTGAAAAAGACATTTCCTGGCCCCACTTCATTCATACTGAATTAGAATCTCTGGGCTAAGACCGGAGATTTTTTATTTAAAAGCATTCTTGAATGAATCTGACGTATCCAGACCACCAGAGCACACCCGGATTTCACAGCAGGGTGTGCTCTGGGCTGCCGCAGGAACTAAAGGAGATAATGAAGGCAACATGTTCAGCACAATGTCGGGGGCACCGTACAGCAGAGAATGGAAGCAGTGACGACTTGGTTAGAAATGCAGACAGTCTGGGCTGTTCTCTAATGACTGACTAATCACATGTTGCTGCTTCCTAAACTGGGAATCAGCAGTGAAGAACTAACCGTGCCCTAATTCCCCAACTATGGCCTTACAGCTCCCTCTTCTGAGCCTACTGCTTCCTATTTCGAAAGAATTGGTTTGAAACCAAAAGATACAATCTAACAAGATAGGACAAATGCCAGCCCTTGATTATAAAAGCCAATTACTTAGATTTATAGCAGACATGGATTGAGTTGCATGTGAGAAAGACCTGTGGGCTTTGGGTTAGTCCATAAGCTCAACCTATGCCAACTGCAAACTGACTGAATTAAAAGTGGTCATAGGCTAGAGCAAAAGAAATAATGGCAAGAGGTAGGGTGAGAGCAGCACCCTCCCCCCATCGGTCAGTCTATGCTGTGGGGTTGTTTCACTGGTGCTCTGCACTTCAATGCAGTTACAAACAAAACTCACTAGGCCTGGAGATGATTCCTGTGGGGTACACTGTGAGAACAGGAGAGGTTTATCCAGGAGAAAACAGAAGGAAGTGTAGGGGGGGGGGGGGGGGGGCAGACATGATCAGTCTTTATAGAGCTGAAGGATTCCCATACGGGAAAGGGCAAAGGCAGATATACTCCATAGGGACAAACTAGCACCAAGTGTAGAGTTTCTGAAGCAGCCTCTTTTCTTCAAGAAAAGATTATAAGGATTCAGCCCTCACATGTGACTTAGACCAGATTTATCACATCAGAATTCCAGTTTTGAGGTAGGAATTACTGGGCTAGACAATCCAAGGAATTTTACAACCTTAAGAATCACTACTACTACAGACAAATATAGGGAGTTGAACTGTCAAAGACTAATCACTGTCAAAGACTAATCAGAAAACTAGAAACTTTTTCTCCCTTTTGAAATATCCTAATAACAATGTTTTAACAATAACTAGAGAGGGAAATGAACTTGCAATCAATTCAATGAGCTAGCTCCTCTGAAGACCTGGGCTCTCGCCCGGTCGGTGCCACTCTTCCTCCTCACCTAGCATTAATATGCAGAGGCCGCTTCAGTACATTCTGCGTATTTAACTGTAAGCACTATTGTTCACTCTCTGCCCAGCTCCAGAACCTCTAAGCAACAGTCCCCATCCTGCTCTTCCACGTACTACACGGCTCATGTGCCACGCACTATGTCGAACATGGGGACGCGTGATATAGCCCTCAGCCCTCAAGACGCTTTCTGCGACAGATAAACAGACAATCCCAGTACAGGGCTTCAGAGGGATAAATCAGTCAGTCAGTTCCCAAAATTTAACAAGCTCTGGGGCCCCTCTGGTTGCTCACAGTCTAACAGTGTAGAAAGTTGC